ACAAATTTTTGAATAATACTTTTTTTAATAAAAAGCCCTACACTTACGTCACGCTTTAAGCTATATATTTCCACGCCATTAAACTTAGGGGGTATATATTTTGAATAAAAACCCTTATGTGGGAAATAGACCATAAATTGCCTTCCAACGTCAAGGAAACAAGATTGCCAAGTTTTGTCATGTCATGTCATTTTGACATTTGCAATTGACAATTTGACACATGTAAATAATAAAATAATTTTATGCTGATGAAATCGCACGGGGACAGCTAGTATAGAATACGAGCTGTTGCCTGCGACTTCGTCTGCGTGGTATTAGAAAACATACAAACTATATAAATTACAAAAAGCTACGGGAAGCAGTCATTTCTCGGGGATGAAGCTTATCCCATGTGTACTCCAGACTTTGTTTTATATCTGTGCCAAATTTCAATAAGATATGTTGAATCGTGGCAGAATTATCGAGCAAACATTGAAAAACTAAATTAATGAATCCCACGGGAACCGTCACCATTCCCGGGATAAAATGTAGACTGTGATCCTTCAGACTATGCTCTAAGCCTGTGCCAAATTTCATGAAGATTCGTTCAGCAGTTTAGGCTACAAACGCTAACAAACATACATCCATCCATCGTAACTTTCGCATTTATAACATTTATATGATTAGATATTAATTCGATTTTTTAAATTATTTTATACTAGCTGTGGCCTGCTACTCCGTACACGCAATATTAAGATAAAAAGTAGCCTATAATGTGCTCGTCTATGTCAGCTACCTTCAGTGAAAGTCCGTACGAAATCGGCCCAGCCGTTTCAGATTTCACCCGAAACAAACGCGGTTTGTGTAGTCAGACAAAATTTTTTTACATGCGATTTTCGTATCTTCCCGAAATCTGGATTTCTTTGATACTACAAACATACATTCCAATTTTATTATATGTATAGATAGATATAACATCTAACCAATGCATTAAGTAAAGTTTATAGATATCTTACTACACTATAATCAATACTACAATTGTCCTCTAAATCTATACTATTATAATAAAGCGTAAACGCACACTTCTTTGTTGCCTAAGATCTCAGTAATTACACCATATTTTTGAATTAATCTTTTTTTAATAAAAAGCCCTACACTTACGTCACGCTTTAAGCTAGATATTTTCACGCCGTTAAACTTAGCGGTAAATATTTTGGATAAAAACGCTAATGTGGGAAAGAGACTATAAGTTGTTGCCAACATCAAGAAAGCAAAATTACCTAGGTTGTCATATCATGTCATGTTGACATTTGCAATTGATAATTTGACAAATGTAAACAATAAAATTAGGTTTTTATAGTTTTATGCGGATGAAGTCGTACGGAAACAGCTAGTTAGTTAATAAGAAAATAATAAATTTAGTTGAGTTCGATAATTATTTAAACCGAATATCGATAACTTATTAAAACTTTCGTGAGACATTATACTATATTATTTATAACACGGCTAAAACTCGCGTGGGAACTTTCGGTGTAGGCACCGACCAGTTTCGAACCCGTAGGGGGTCCTTCTTCAGGGTGAGTGGATGCCGGCTTTATTCGCTATCGCGTCGCAACGGTCACTGCGTGCCCTAGCCCGCAACGCGCGATTCGACAGGACGGGGGCGCGGGGGGTGCGGGGGGACGCTGTGCGTCGGTGGAGACGAACTCGAAACTGAAGAGTTGATGGTGTTATTGTTCACGGGGGCACAAAATACGCTGACAATGTCCACCAGGTTGTCCTCTACACTGTCGATGTTATTCCGTTTCGCAGTTAGCAACACTGGGTCCCAAGCGGGTGGCAAAACCCAACCCTTATCCCTATTATAATTAGGACGACGACTGATCTCGATTGCTTCGCGGAGCTTGCGGGATACAAAATTTTTCTTTGATTTTTCTTTTCTAGCACTTTCACTTTGTCGAACCTAATATAATGTTTCATGTCGGAGACAAGGGCGTGCTCAGCTACGCCGAGGTGTTACTGTCGAGCTTGCGAATACTTCGGATGTGTTCAGATAGTCTTGTTTTTATGTTGCGCCCCGTTTTTCCGATGTAGTTTTCACCGCAATCACAGGGAATTTCGTAGACTCCAGGGCTGTCCAGAGGATCCCGGTCTTTAGGGGACCGTAAGATGTTCTTTATCTGTGTCATGGGTCGGAAAATGGTCCTGATGCTGCATCTCCGGCGTAACAGGTGACCAATTCGATCCGTTATCCCCCGCACGTATGGCAAGTATGCCGGGACACGCTCAACAACCTGTGGACGTACTTTGCTTGAAACTGGTCGGTGCCTACACCGAAAGTTCCCACGCGAGTTTTAGCCGTATTATAAATAATAACGAATATCGATAGTTCATAATTGTTCGCTGCGTGTTTCATCACTACGATACCTGTCTATTAAGTATGGTATTTACCTTCATACAAATTGAATGCGATACTTCATATGCGTCATTTATCAAACTAATCTATCTTATTTAGACACACTATAAGTAGTGTTTAAGTTTTATTTATAGAAGTATAGATGAAGTAAGTACAACTTATTTATTAAAAATCAAAACATTAAACACCGCTGAGAAGAAAAAAGTTATTTACTCAAATCATAATTTGCGCGCTTCATGAAAATATACCAATGTTTTCTGGCAATCAAGATAATAAAAAAACATAATAAATATGCAAATTTTTGGCGCACAGTTCCACTCCGCTGGTCAGTTAACGAAAAGTAAAAAAAAAGTATGGTGAAAAATTAATCGGATGTTCGTATTTGAAAAACTCAATTTCCACTTAGCGGGTAATCGTACAACAGGTCGCATTATGTAGCTCTGATTCCACTAGCACGACTACTAACCAAGACGCTAACACAACAAATACAAGGAATTAAAACTTACAAAATTCAAATCGATTGATATCGTGTTTACAGTAAAATACAAAAGTGTATTTCTATATAAACTAACGTAAATGAACTGTGTATTGTCAACACAGCGACGCCATATTAGATAAGTCACTTGCTTCAACCAATAGTGTGCGTTTTAGAACTTAGCGAGGGAATTTGAATAAAGACACTTTTTAATGATTTAATTTTGCCACTAAATCACATTATATTAAAAAAAATTCTTTGCAGGAATGTTTTTATAGTAATAAAGTATACGTAAAAAAAGTTTGGTGCAATTTGGCGTCATATGCATATTGCCTATTGCCTATTGCACATGCGTTGCCTACTCTAAATCAACGGAGGAGAAGACGCACATAAAAAGGATATTTCCCGTTCCTATGCATCTCCTCCACTCTCAAATCCACTTTTCCACCCAATCCTTTCCTTATTTGTAAAGGGTGAAACGGGAAAGGGACTAAATTGGGCCTCCGGCACCACATTCATCAGAGGAAACCTTTACGTGGTAGTGCCCGCTTTACCATCCTAGCACGAATAGGCCGGCACGCCCAGTGTAATACCACGACCACACAGAAGACAGACGTGAAATGGAAGCAATTCCGTGTTTCGTCTGATGAGTGTGGTGCCGGAGGCCTAATTAAAGTCCCTTTCCCTTTACCACCCTTTTCTTATAAGGAGAGGATGGGAAGGGGAAGTGGATTTGACGGTGGAGGAGATGCATAGGAAGGGGAAATATCCTCTTTATATGCGTCTCCTCCTCCGTCGTATAAGGGTAGGCAACGCATTTGCAATTGCGGATGTCTATAGGCAGCGGTCGCTTCGCCATTTTGGCGGATTCAGGTGGCCGCTTGCTCGTTTGCCACCTTATGCTATAAAAAAAAAAAAAAAAGGAAACGCGGAACTGCTTCAACTTCACGCCTGTCGTCTGTGTGGTTGTGGTATTACACCGGGCGAGCCGGCCCATTCGTGCGAAGATGTTAAAGCGGGCTCTACCATTGTTAGTACTAACAAACTTTTAATCAGAATCATTATAAGCAAAGAAAGCAGAAATAACCCAAAATTTCGTCGCGCGATTATAAACTAAACTATTTAACTACGCCATAGTCAGTGACTCCAAAAAACAAACAAAAAAATTGGACTCACCTGCAAGCTTTACCTTTCGGATAAAAAAGGAATTATCAAAATCGGTTCACTAGCGGCGGTGTTATGCCGTAACACACATAAAAAAATAAAAAAAAAAAAACATACAGACGAATTGAGTAGTTCCTGCTGTTGGGAAGTCGGTCAATAAAACAGGGCTGGCATTAGTATTGGCCCGATGAGCGACCGCTCAGGGCGCTGAACAAAAATGGGCGCAACAGGGTTGCTAATCTCATTGTCTCACATAATCCCCCTAAAATACTAAAAAAAGAAAATAGTAATCACGCCTAGATTAAACTAAACTAGTTTCTTAGAGGCTCGGAGCCTACCTTAAGTAAGGGTTTGACTAGACCATAGTCAACCAATCGCAAGCCGGGGTCGCGGACGTAAGCGAAAGCGGGTCCGCAGCCACGGCTTAAGGCGTTGGAGGAACCGAGGGGTTTAGAGGCTAGGCCCCCTATTATGGGGGGAGAGTCCAACATAACTACCGCCTTTACGCGGAGTACGCGTAAGATGCATTCCCCACGGGTAATAAAAAAAAAGGCAGTCAACCACGCTGGCCCACTGCGGCTTACTTGACATCACACATATCTTTGAATTTCTTTACCGATACGTGCATCACGATGTTTTCCTTCACTGTAACGTCGGGTAAATTATGTGCATATGAAAATTCGAAAAATCGAAAATCACATTGGTGGCGGGATACAAACCCAAGACTTGTGGATTACAAGTCAAGTGTTTAAACCACCGACTCTCTTCCTCCCGTTCCCGCTTCACCGCTATTTTAATATTTTCATGGAACCACGCGTTTGAGTTCTGCTTAGTTAGTTGCGCGGCAATCTGATTAGTGGAAATAGGCACTAAAACACAACTTTTAACACGTACTTAATTGTATTTAAGAATTCAGTCGAGTTTTAACAGTTTGATGTTTCACAAGATTGTTATTAAGAAGCGAAAATTGACGTATTCAGTGAAAAATTAATAATCAGAGTCTACGAAGAAATAAACAAGAAAGTTGAGGGAAAAGGTATCTGGAGAACATCAACAACAAAAGGAAAGAAATAAAAACTCAAAAACGTCACTTAGAATGAAATTTAGTTCAATTGAAGTTTCAAATTTCATTTCCAGTTTGCAGAACTCTTAATCTAAACAAATCCAAAAAGTTTCATTACAAGGCGAATAATTTCAGGTAAATAAATATTCTTGTGTCACAGTTCAACATCATACTAATATAATAAAGCGTAAACACGCCCTACTTTGTGGCGTAGGATGTCAGCAATCACAGCATATTTTTGAATAATCTTTTTTTTTATAAAAAGCTATGCACTTATAACACACTTTAGACTATATATTTCCACGCTTTTGAACTCAGGGGGTAAATAAATTGAAAAAACGTTCATGTTGGAAAGGGACCATAAACTACGTGCTGTCAATATTAAGGGAACAAGGTTATTATGGTAACGGTGGTTTAAGACATTTGCAATTGAGTCTACACAAGTCAACACTAATATTCTACAAAAGTCTACACTAATATTCCATTTCTAAATTGGTATATTTGTAACAAAAAAACTCAAAAACTACTTAACCGACATCAAAATTTCTTTCACCATTAGAAAGGTACATTATCCCTGATTGACATAAGCTATGGCTATTATTGTTTCAAATTAAACTCAAGGAATAAAACATTTTTTTAGAATAACAATGACGTCACAGAGTATCGAACATACAGAGGATTCCGATGACGTCACAATATGCGCTCCTAGGAAATACGACATCGTCTTTTCAAACATATTTAAATACACTGTATTACATATATTTGCATTTTACGGAATTTATGTCGTTTTAACTAAAGCTAAATGGCAAACATTCGTGTTCAGTAAGTAATGTTACTTCTAATTTTTTTTATATAATATAAGGTGGAAAACGAGCAAGCGGCCACCTCAATCCGCCGAAATGACGAAGTGACCGCTACCCATAGATTATGTAGTAGATCCCGCTTTAACATCTTCGCACTAATGGGTCGGTTCGTCTGGTGCAATACCACGACCACATAGAAGACAGGCGTGAAGTGAAAGCAATTTTGCGTTTCGTCTCATGAGTATGGTGCCAGAGGTCCAATTTAAATCTCTTTTCCCTTCCACAATTTTCTGATAAGGAAAGGATTGGATGAGAAAGTAGATTTGTCGGCAGAGCAGACGCATAGGAAAGGGAAATATCTTCTTTATATGCGTCCTAATCGGTTGATTAAGGGTTGGCAACGCATCTGCAATATGGGCAGCGGTCGCTTCGCCCTTTTTGGCGGATATAGGCAGCTTGCTAGTTCACCACCTTATAGTAAACAAAAACCTCCACAGATTATATAACGACCTATTTGAGCGCATTCGGTGTAACAATAGGAGCACATCGTCTATGGGCACATAAATCTTTCAAAGCGACCATGCCTGTTCAAATTGTACTGATGCTGATGAATTCCTTGGCCTTCCAGAGCACCGCGTTTGTATGGATACGAGACCATAGGTTACATCACAAGTAAGTAACATTAAGTTAACACTTTGAACGCCACGACACGCCCTACAAGTTGACGTACAGGACAGTTCCAGAGTCCTAACATTAATCCCTTTCTCTTCCACCCTTTTTTTTATAAGGAAAGGTGGGTAAGGGAATGTGAATTTAATAGTGTAGACGTATAGAAAGGAAATTATCCCATTTTAAGTGCGTCTTTTCCGTCAATTAAGTGTGACATCGCATCTGAAATGCAAGCAGCGGTAGCTGCGCCTTTTAAGCGAATTCAAGTGGCCGCTCATCTCTTGCCTAATATAAAATAAACAATTTCGAACACAATTTCATAGTGACGCGGAACATTCCGCTACCATTTGGTAATTAGACATTTTAACGATCTTTTAGTGAAGATTCAAGACGAGAAAAAGGCATTTTAGAAGATTATATATAAATAAATATTTCTAATTTCTAAATTTAAAACGTAAGATTGGTAGTTTAGAAGGTTTTGTAAGCTGCTAACATAAATAATACAGTAAATTATAGGTACAGTCGTTTCCTAAGTCCTAAGTGAATAATTCAGGACTCTAAGTACAACAGATACGTAATGGTCCTTCGAGCAGGATTATGAAACCGTTGCATTACAAATAAATATATTTTACAGATATAGCGACACAGACGCGGACCCTTACAACGCGTCTCGCGGTTTCTTCTTCTCTCACATCGGCTGGCTGCTGGTGAGGAAACACCCGCTTGTGCTGAAGAAGGGGAAGACTGTCGACATGAGCGACATCTACAACAACCCTGTACTCAAGTTCCAACAAAAGTACGTAGTATTTTAACTGAATTTCTCACGAAGGTAATATATTTTACGTTAATTCAATTTTAACCAACGAGATTAAAATATATATAGAGTAGGCATAGTTGACTTAACTTGAAACATTTTACACATTATCACAAACACTATCTATTGATAGCCTCATAACCACGTATCAAAATAAATCATCATCATCACCAGCTCACTACATGTCTCCACCGAGGGGCTCGGAGCCTACCCTAATAGGGGGTAACTAGGCCATAGTCAACCTGCACTGCGGGTTGACTTCACACATATCATTGAATTCTTTCACCGATTGCATCACGTTTCCTTCACCGTAAGAACGTCGGGTAAATTATGTACATATGAAAAATGGAAAATCACATTGGTGGCGGGATTCGAACCCAAGACCTGTAGATTACAAGTCAAGTACTACCTGAGCCACCGAAACTCAAATTAATTAATTGTATTTAAATTAATTACCTATAATTATCATTAAAAAGAATTTAAAAGTTTACATTTTATTTTGTAACAGTGTTTAGTTTATTTTATAACAAACTAGATGTTGCCCGCGACTTCGTCCGCGCAAAATTTGAACCTATTACCAAAAGCATTAACTTAGTAGTAATCTACTTAATGACAGAAATCTACCGATGCATGATTCCAAATTCCTAAGCTCGGTAGTTTGTGCGCTGATTTTTCGGTTATTTTATAACAAAAGACGGAGCTTATTATAGTTGTTGTAAAATGTTTTATTACATGTCGATAAACGAGGTGGCACTAAACTTGACTGATATAGTACCTTTTAGAAAAAGTACCGGTGAAAAATATTATTCACTGCCTCATCTATATCAGCATCATCTCCCCTGCCTTATTCTACTCCCGTAGGGTCGGCGCACCGGGTTTTCGTCCTCCAAAGCACTCTATCATCCTTGATCATGTCACCTTTCACGCAATCCATCCATCTCTTTCTATGTCTACCTCTACCGGTGTACCTCCACATTCATAACTAACGTCCGTCTTGTTACATGCGATTCATCACTTCTCATAACATGCCCATACCACTCTAACCTTTTACTCCTTATCTATATATTTGTTAAAAATCTTTAATTTTAACCTGTAGGTTAAACGAATGAGAATTTCAAACATACGTATATTTTCTCGTTATTTAACAGAATTATTGAATTTTTTGTCCATCATCATCAACTTGCCCTTATCCCTACGGAGGGTCGGCACAGTATGTGCTCCATACATCTCTATCAGTCATATCTGAATCCACACCTTTTTTAAGCATGTATTAACTAATTTGTCCATGACATAAAACATTTATAAACAAAAACACAGACGTTTCAATGTTTTAAATTTGATTTAACATTTTAACCGCATGTTAAAAACGCCTTGAACCTAGCGCTCAGATATGCTAACAAGTACAGTCAGGGAAATACGCAATGTGCCACTTTTAAACTTTTAAAAGTTCTCTACACTGAGACGCGGATCATAAACCAATAAGAGACATCTTTAAATATGTTTCTACTAATTACTCTAGCTATTGCACGCGACATCCTTCGCGTGAAATAAAAAAAAATAAAAAATGTAGCCTATGTTACTCATATATAAATTACTAATGGTGAACGAATTTTGCAAATCGGGTCAGTAGTTTTTACGTGAATCAAATACATACAAAAATACAAATCACTCTATATAATACTAGTACAGATAGTGTAGAAGTATAAAAAGGTCAGTAATATGAGTAATTAGTAAAAAAAATTTAATTAATAATTAGTAGAAATAGTCAAATTAATTAATAACTAATTAAATATGGCGATGGTGCTCTATTTTCATACAAATCATATAAAATATATTATGTATTAAATCATACTAATATTATAAATGCGAAAGTTTAGATGGATGGATGTTTGTTAGAGTTTGTAGCTTAAACGGCTTAACGAATTTCGATCGGAAAAATCCTACGTCGAGTATGCCTACGCGTTCTTCCAGACTTGGAAGAACGCGTAGGCATACTCACTTTTGTTTTTTTTTTTAATTCCACGCGGCCGCGGACGAAAGCTAATCTGTCTATACTAATATACTAAGGCGTAAACACACACTTCTTTGTTGCCTAAGATGTCAGCAATTACAGCAAATTTTCGAAAAACTCTTTGTTTAATAAAAAAAAGCCTTACACATACCATATTCACACGCCGTTAAACTTAGAGGTAAAGATTTTGGATAAAAACTCTAATGAAAAGGAAGCAAGGTAGCCATGGTTTGACATCATGTCATGTCATTTTGACATTTGCAATTGATAATTTGACAAATGTGAACAATAAAATAAAATAATAATTTTATGCGGATGAAGTCGCACGGGAACAGCTAGTAAGTAAATAAAGATATATGGATATTAAAAATTAAATAAAAGGGTCAATCGATTTTTATTATCGCATCGTTTAGGCAACTTACCTTATATGTATACAAGCTGTTGCCCGCGACTTCGTCAGCGTGGTATTATAAAACATACGAACTATATAAATTACATAAAGCTACGTATCCCTCGGGAACCGGACACTTATTGGGGATGAAACTTATCCCATGTGTACTCCAGACTTTGTTTTATATCTGTGCCAAATCCATCCATCCATCTAAACTTTCACATTTATAATATTAGTAAGATTTGTAAAGAGGTTTGACTGAGCAAGAAAACAGGTTTTTAATGTGGATACACCGCAGATTTCCTCGACTGTACATTCTGTTTTGTCGAGATATTTTAATACAAGTGTGTACAATGTGGACTTATTTGTTACGATTACGTACGTAAAGAATACGCTAACCAGCGGTTTTAAAGTGTAACATTTGAAGTGAACAATATAATTATTTTTTTACAAGAACGGGAAATATTCTTTGCAATATTTAAACCATAGCTAGACTTTTTATATAATGAATTATGGATACATCCAACTTAATTTACTATTACAAAAAACTGGATGAACAATTTACATAGTTATTGTAAAAAAAATTGTTTCTCTACAATTTGATATAATACTTACTAGCTGTTTATGATTTTGTTGGCATTAAAATAAAAGAAAAAGATAACCTTTAGAAATACATTTGACTAGCTTTCGCCCTCGACTCCGTCCGCGAGAAATTAAAAACAAAAGTAAGTAACATCTGTGTTCTTACAGATATTTTACTGTGAAATGACTCAAAAACTGCTGGAGTGATCTCAAAAATTCGTGCATCTCTGAAAAGCTAATGGCCACTCAGCAACATAGGCTATATTTTACACATTTTTTTAAAAAAAAAGAAACAAGCACGATCTTTACTAACATAATAGAGAAAAGGTTCATATTTTTGTGTATTATAACTCAAAAACTACTGGGACGATTTCAAAAATTCTTTCATCGTTAGAAAGATAATTTATCTGTGAGTAACATAGGTTAATTTAACACATAATTTATACACTAATTTCTTTCCAGATATGCCATCGTCGTGATTGGATTATGCTGTTACATAATACCTACATATATTCCCATATATTTGTGGAACGAGACATTTTCCAACTCATTCTATGCAAACATATTACGTCACGTGATCACACTACATGCGACATTCAGCGTAAACAGTGTTGCCCATTTATTCGGTACAAAACCTTACGATAAAAACATCAAAGCTGTTCAAACATTATTCGTTGCTTTCATATCAAACGGGGAAGGATACCATAATTATCATCACGTGTTCCCCTGGGATTACAGAGCTGCTGAATTCGGTGGCTGGTTGAATCCATCCAAATGGATCATCGATGTTTTGGCTAAATACGGTTTGGTGTACGATTTGAAAATCGCACCGAAAAGGTTAATATCAGCTAGAATAGAACGCACTGGAGATGAAAATTTATTTGATAAACATTAAATATATATACATATAATAAAATTGGAGCGTCTGTTTCCTGAATGTTTTCTGAATTTCAGATTTCGGAAAGATGAATTTGCATTGCTGATAATGAACATCGCATTTAATTATTTTGTCTGTCTGTCTGTCCGCAAGCCGCGTTTGTTCCGGGTAATCTCCGAAACGGCTGAGCCGATTTCGACGGGACTTTCACAGGAGGGTAGCTGACATAGAAGGGCATGTAATAGGCTATTTTTTTAAAATCCGCGTTATCAAAATTTTGCGGGCGAGAGCTCGTTGAAATTACGTTCATGTCCTTTATTTGCATTTAAAATGCACTATTTTCCCCATTAGAAAAAATACCACCAAGGTCTCTGACGTCACAGTTTATGTTATGTATTACATAATATGCTAATATACTTGTTATTAAAATTAAGGGTAGCTGACATAGGCCCGTATATTATAAGCTACTTTTTTATCTTAATGCGTGGACAAAGTCGGGGGCAACAGCTAGTATGTAAATAAAAGTCTGTATATGTAAATAGTTATAAGAATTTTTAAGAACGCCGGAAGTTATTTTGGTTTCAATTAACATTGTTTTAGAGATTTTTAATTGATATTTTCTTAATAAAGTAACTTTATATTGCTTGTTACTTATTTACTAAACCTCTAACGCTAGCGTCGATGGCAAATTTTATGATTTCTTGATCTTCTTTCAACTTTCTAACGACTAAGGAAATAACTTTTCCGAAATAAATTATAAAATTGTCTTTTTGAGAATAAAGTTAACCTTAATTACAACTCATTGCATTTTTTTATATAATATAAGTTAGCAAACGAGCAAGCGGCCTGAATCCACCGAAATGGAAAGCGACCGCTGCACAAACATCCGCAATTGCAGATGCGTTGCCTACCCTTAACTGACGGAGGAAGAGACTCACAAAAAGACATTTCCCCTTCCTATGCATCTCCACCGTCAAATCTACTTTTCCTTCCCATCCTTTCCTCTTAATTATTATCCTCATAATTAAGCCTCTGGTATCACACTCATCAGACTGTACGCGGAATTGCTTCCACTTCACACCTGTCTGTGTGGTGGTGGTATTGCTGGTGAGCCCTACAGTGCGAAGATGTTAAAGCGGGCACTACCACATAAATTCATTGTACCACCTCGGAGTTCCCTAACTGTAGTGGGTGTTGTAAACTCACCAGTATCATGTACATCATCAGGGCGGTCGGGAGCCGCATCAGCGCCGCAAGCCAGCAGCAGGCGGCACGCGCCAGCGCTGTCCCGGCGCGCCGCCACGCACAGCGCGCTCTCGCCGCGGACGTCGCATACGTTCACTTTCGCACCTACATATAAAACACTGAATGTAGAGGGACGGATGAAAGGAGACTGTGGCTGACATGAACATATTACTAGCTGCCCCCGTGCGGCTTCATCCGCATGAAATTATGCAAATTTTATTAATATATTGATAGCAAATGTCAAAATGACATGACATGACAATCTTGTTTCCTTAATGTTGGCAGCAACTTACGGTCTCTTTCCCACATTAGGGATTTTATCCAAAATATTTACCCTCTAGGTTTGTTGGCGTGAAAATATATAGCCTAAAGCATGACGTAATTGTAGGTCTTTTTATTAAAAAAAATATTCAAAATTATGGTGTAATTGCTGACATCTTAGACAACAAAGAAGTGTGTGTTTACGCTTTATTATAATAGTATAGATAGTATAGAAGTATAGATGTTATAATAATGAATAAGATACGAAATGAGTATATTAGAGGAAGTTTGAGAGTAGCCCCAGTGGTAGAAGGTAAGGAGTAAAAGGTTAGCATGGGGGCATGTTATGAGGAGGGATGAATCATGTTACAAGGAGAACGTTAGTTATGAGTGTGGTGATACAACGGTAGAAGTAGACTTAGAAAGAGATGGATTGCGTGAAAGGTGACATGAGTAAATAAATTAGAAAAAAACACTTCATTCGGAAAAGACAAATGTAAATTTTTTTTGACATTTTCGGAATTTGACAAATGTAAATAATAAAATAATTTTTTCACAATTTTAAGCGGATGAAACCCAACATCATCAACTTGCCCTTATCCCTTAAGGAGGGTAGGCACAGTATGTACTTTTCCATACATCTCTATCAGTCATATCTGAATCCAGAACCTTCTTAAGCATATCCTCTTTCACACAATCCATCCATACTTTCTTAAAATAAAAAATAATGAGAAACGTAACTAATGAAATGAAAAAAAAAAAGAAAAAGGAATATTTAAAATTATGCAATGCTGACTGGATTAGGTCCTCGCTCAGCTATAAATGCTGGATGCTCCTATTGAAGTACCAGCGCTGATCTTCCACGAGAACCCTTGGAATCATCTACACGTCAGTAGTAGCAGTGGATAGGTAGCTTCCTTGTTTTTATAACATAAGATGGCAAACGAGCAAGCGGCCACCTGAATCCGCCAAAATGGCGAAGCGACCGCTGCCCATAGACATCCGAAATTGCAGATGCGTTGCCTACCCTTATCCGACGGAGGAGGAGACGCACATAAAGAGGATATTTCCCCTTCCTAGTCAAATCCACTTCCTCTTCCCAACCTCTCCCTATAAGAAAATGGTGGTAAAGAGGAAGGGACTTAAATTAGGTCTCCGGCACCACACTCATCAGACTGTACACGGAATTGCTTCCACTTCACGCCTGTCTTGTGTGGTCGTGGTATGACTGGGGGCGAGCCCTGCACTGCTAACATGTTAAAGCGGGCACTACCACTGTAAAAGGTGTTCCTCAAAGGTTTTTCTTACCATGTCTCAATAATAAATCCATAGCGTCTATATGCGCGTGTTCCGCAGCCACGTGCAATGGAGTCTGACCTTCTTTGTTCTTCTCGTTCACTCTGCCGCCTTTCCTGATCAATATCTCCATCACCTAACAAACAAAGAAATATATTAAAACGCGAAAAAAACGTTCAAAGAAAAATTATATTATAAAACTAGCTGTTCCCGTGCGGCTTCCGCATGAAATTACGAAAATTTTATTTTATTGTTTATATTTGTCAAATTTTCAATAGCAAATGTCAAAATGACATGACATGATGACAACCTTGCTTCCTTGATGTTGGCAACAACTTATGGTCTCTTTACCACATTAGCGTTTTTATCCAACATATTTACCCCCTAAGTTGAAAATGACTTTATTATTATTATTATTATAAGTTTAATGGCGTGAAAATATATAGCCTAAAGCGTGTAAGTGTAGGGCTTTTTATTAAAAAAAGAGTTATTCAAAAATATGGTGTAATTGCTGACATCTTAGGCAACAAAGAAGTGTGTGTTTACGCTTTATTATAATGGTATAGATATAATTGACATATCACTTGAGATAATTTTAGGAAATATATTTATTTAATGTATGTTACCTTCTCTACAGTAAATTATTAAACCAATTTTAACAAATTAAGTGTCAATCGACTCCTTATCCTCCCCTTAGTGTCACAGCATATAATTAACACCTAAAAAACCCTTATTATAGTTATTTTTTAAAATATAAGGTGGCAAACGAGCAAGCGGCTACCTAAATAAACCGAAATGGAAAGCGACCGCTGCTCATAGACATCCGTAATTACAGCGTTGCCTACCCTTCATTGACGGAGGAGACGCACATAAAAAGGACATTTCCTCTTCCTATGCGTCTTCCACAGTCAAATCGACTTTTCCTTCCCATCCTTTCCTTATAAGAAAAGGGTGGAAGGAGAAAGGGACTGAAATTAGTCCTCCGGCACCACACTCATCAGAGTGTACGCGGAATTGCTTCCACTTCACGTCTGTCTGTATGGTCATGGTATTGCTGGCGAACCCTGCAGTGCAAAGATGTTAAAGCGGGCTCTACCACTGTCCTATAGTATTAATTTAACATATATCGTATACCTGTTTCCTCTTGGGGTACACACTCGCTGCAGCGCAGTGCAGCGGCCTGTCTCCGGTACTGAGGTGTGCGAAGTTCACTAGAGTTTCTGTCTCCTCGCCCCCGCCCCCGCCCCCGCCCCCGCCCCGCGACTGCCCGCACCCCTCGCGAGACACACATTGCTGTACAAAAAAAGTAATAACCGTTTTAAATCTATACTATTATAATAAAGCGTAAACACACACTTCTTTGTTGCCTAAGATGTCAGCTTTTTTTAATAAAAAGCCCTACACTTACGTCACATTAGGCTATATATTTTCAAGCCATTAAACTTAGGGTTAAATATTTTGGATAAAAACACTAATGTGGGAAAGAGACTATACGATACGAGTTGCCAACATGAAGAAGCAAGATTGCCATAGTAAGGTAATTGGTATTTTGACATTTGCAATTGAAAATTTGATAAATGTAAACAATAAAATGATTGTTTTATAATTTTATACGGATGAAGTCGCACGAGAACAGCTAGTAGTAAATAAACAATTCTATTGTAATGAATTATTATTATAAATTTGCTGTGCGGCTTCATTCATGAAATTATAAAATTTTATGTAATTGTTTAAAATTGTCAAATTCACAATAGCATATATCAAAATACAAATTACCGCAACATGTCAATCTTGATTCCTTGATGTTGGCAACTTACACTGTATAGTCTCTTTCTCACATCAAGGTTTTTTTCCAATTTATTTACCCCCTAATTTTAATAACGTAAAAATATATAGCCTAAAGCATGACGTAAGTGTAGGGCTTTTTATTGAAAAAAGAATTAGTCAAATATATGGTGTAATTGCTGACATCTTAGGTAACAAAGTGTGTGTTTACGCTTTATTATAATATAAAGTAAAGATATTAATAACTAGCTTTCGCCCACTCCATCCACATGTAATTAAAAAGAAAGTGAGTATCCCATGTGTTCTTACGGACTATTCTCTACATATATGGCAAATTTCATCAAGATCTGTTAAGTCGTTTAGGTTACAAACTCTAACATCCATCCATCCAAACTTTCGCATTTATAATATTAGTAAGATTACATAGATATTTGAAATATAACCTGTGTTTGTGAGACAGTCAACTGCTTCTTGACTCTCGCCGGCTCCGCGAGACGACACGCCTCCAGCAGACAATGTCCGCGATATTCCACTACCAATGTACACAAACATTAATAAAAAAAAAATACAAACATTTTTTTTTATAACATAAGTTGGCAAACGAGCAAGCGGCCACCTGAATCCACAGAAATGTAAAGCGACCGCTAGACATAAACATCCGTAATTGCAGATGCGTTGCCCTTCATTGACGGAGGAGACGCATATAAAGAGGACATTTCCCCTTCCTATGCGTCTCCACCGTCAAATCCACTTTTCCTTGCCATCCTCTCCTCTTAAGAAAAGGGTGAAAAGGGAAAAGAAGTAAAATAAGGCGTCTGGTATCACACTAATCAGAATGTTCGCGGAATTGCTTCCACTTCACATCTGTCTGTATTGTGGTGTTGCTGGCAAGCCCTACAGTGCGAAGATGTTAAAGCGGGCTCTACCACTGTTATTCTAGTTATACTAACGTGCGAGTCTCTCCTGCAGTTCTCGTGTAGGGGCGACATCGAGCGCGGACTTTCCGTGGCAGTTCAGCAACGTGGGGTCCGCGCCTTCACTTAGTAGTAGTGAACATACCTGAAATATACATAAATCTTCTCTATCTGACAATTGGAATAGAGGTTTGTACTAAATGTTCATAGTAACAATTATAATTATCTATACTAATGTTATAAAGAGGAATAAATTGTAATTTCGGATTTTGTATTCACATAAAAACTACTAGGCCGATTTTAATTTTTTCTTGGCCATTAGAAAGGTATTACTAACTGTATTTTAATAATCTATACTAATATTATAAAAAGCAAAGATTTGTATTTATGTATGTATTAAAATAAAAAAAAAACTACTTGTCCGATTTCAAAAAAAATTACACTGTTAAAAAATCTAGATTATCAGTGAGTAACATGGGCTGTGTATTTTGTATATTTTTTCGTTAAATTCACGCGAATGAAGTCGCGAACAGCTAGTTCTTGTTTATGTATTTTATTGTGTGGTCGTCGACACGATTGTAAAATTACGTTCATGATTGTAAAATTACGTTCATGATTGTAAAATCACGTTCACGATTGTAAAATCAAGTTCATGATAGTAAAAATCACGTTCAGGATTGTAAAATCACGTTCACGATTGTAAAATCACGTTCACGATTGTAAAATCAAGTTCATGATTGTAAAAATCACGTTCACGATTGTAAAATCACGTTGATGATTGTAAAAATCACGTTCACGATTGTAAAATCACGTTCACAATTGTAAAATCGAGCTGTCAAAAGTCATAGCACAGAGTAAATATGTCACAGATTATCTTCAATATAAACTGACCTCAAGTCTTGCTTTACTTGCGGCTTCATGCAGCGGAGTAAATGCCCATAAGTCTGTCGCGTTCACATCAGCACCAGCTCGTACCAACAACTCGGTCACTTCATAATGACCGTAGGAACAAGCATTGTGTAAAGGGACTAGACCACTGGAAAATAAAAATACAATCATACTTCTATACTAATATTATAAAGAGGAAAAATTTTTGTTATAACACAAAAACTACTGAGACGATTTTAAAAATTCTTTCACCGTTAGAAATGTAATTTTTCTGCAAGTAACATAGGTTCAACGATCAACAGTTAGTAACATTATAAATGTGAAAGTTTATATGGATGGAAGTCTGTTAGTTTGTAGCCTAAACGGCTGAATGGATCTTGAAATTTAACATAAACCTAGATAGTATAGAACATAGGCTACTTCTGTTTGTTTACACGCGTAATGAATCATAGGGGAAAACAAGTATTATCTATTGCCCTTTTTTTGTGACGTAATGGCCACTTTGCCTTGAAGAGGCATCTACAGATTCAAAGGGCTTGAAGTGACCGAGCGCAAGACGTCTAGCCTAAACCTTGTTTATGAGTACGCTCGAGTGTTCCCTCAGGAGCCTCAGCACAAGTCGTTACTTTGTTATTATTACCGGAATAAATGCTCACCCTTTTGATATAAATCTAGTCATTTTAGTAACTTTAGTTTATTAGGCAAGTGGAAATCTTAAAAAGTTGTAAGAAATTTGTAAAGTTATTTGACAAAAAATTTCACAATAAAGAAATAAACGTTCCACCCGCACCTTACGTCCCTATCCCAAAAATATGCTAGGGGAACGAGAGGGTGGCATAGAGCCGCCAATAAAAAAAATGCTCACCCTTTATCCTTAGCATGTACATCAGCACCTCGCTGCAGCAACAACCGTACAGCACGAGCTCGGTTATACCCCGCAGCGAGGTGCAGCGGAGTAGACCGGCGACCATCTCCCGCGTGTACGTTCACATTTAAAGGTGTCAATAATGCCGCAAGACGCTCATCTGCACCAGCACGAGCTGCCTCTAACACATCAGCCGCGCAGTACTCGCCTAAAAGATAACCTCAAATGTAGAGGCCGGTTTTAACATCTTCCCCTTTGTTGAAATACCAGGACCACACAGGATAGACATCAAGTGGAAATAGTACCGTGTACAGTGATGAGTGTTTTTGTAGGCTTAGTTTTAATTCTTCCATCAAATCCCTTCCCATCTATACTATATATACTATAATAAAGCGTAAACACACACCTCTTTGTTGCCTAAGATGTCAACAATTACAACATGTTTTTGTATAATTCTTCCTTTAATAAAAAGCACTACACTTGCGTCACGCTTTAGGCTATATATTTTAACGCCATTAAACTAGGGGGGTAAATATTTTGGGTAAAAACCCTAATGTGGGAAAGAGACCATAAATTGCTGCCAACATCAAGGAAGCAAGGTTGTCATCACATCATTTTGACATTTGCTTTAATAATTATGTAATTTGACAAATGTAAACAATAAAATAAAGTTTTTATAATTCCATACGGGTGAAGCCGCACGGGGACATCTAGTCCTTTTTTAAAGGATCATGAGAAGTGGAAATATTATCTTTATGTGCGTTCCATCTGTTGATTAAGGGTAGACATCTGCATTGCTGATGTCTATGGGCAGTCGTTTCGCCATTTTGGCAGCTTCAGGTGGCTACTTGCTTATTTGCCATGTTACATTATTAAAAAAACCTTTATTGCCTGTCCCACCAAATTGTAAATTCTCTAATAACAACTGAACGTGTAAAATAGGTGATGGAAATATCGGAATTTGCTACCTTATCTGACAGTGACATCATTTTTAAGCAATCTGAGCCTCTATAAGCCAGTGGTGGGACAAGCCTTTAATCTTACTTTTAGGGGCCTAGGGAGAACAGAAAACTTTTTTTTAAACAAAGAGAATGTTTAACAATCTTTGATATAATTATTGTAAAGAAAAACTAACTCAGTTTCTTTTTAACTACTACTTATGGATTTCTAGTGACTAGGGCATTTCTATTCTTGCTAAGATTCCGCACGAAGTTGCAAAATTCCAAAGAAATATTACATTACAGTGTTATTTGATATAATCAATTGTGCAATTAAAAGCACTAAAGAGAATAACACTGACTTAGAACAACTTATCCAACTAAACAAGTTCAAATTATTAGTAACAACCTACCAGTAAGCACTGGTCTTGTGGCAGCATCTGCGAGGTCCAGCGGGGTCTTGCCTTCAGTATTCCTTATGTTTGGATCAGCTCCATGTTGAAGGAGCGCTGGAGAATCAGAAGAAATTAAATAACATCAATTCTTGCTATATCTATACTAATATAATAAAGCGTAAACACACGCTATTTAGTTACATAGGATGTCAGCAATCGTAGCATATTTTTTTAATAATTCCATTTTATTATATATTTTCACACTATTAAACTTAGGGAGTAAATATTTTGCTAAAAACCGTCATGTGGGAAAGGGGCAAAAACTGACATCAAGGACGCAAGGTTGGCAATGGTAATTGTATTCTAAGTAGGGGTAGGCAGAAAAACAGAATAAGGTGCGACATATCAATCTATACGCATAATAAAATTGGCTATAGTATGTAAGATTGAAATAAAATTTCCATATTTTGCGAAGATGATTCATTTAATTTTATCAGCAAGATAACGACAGATAGACAGATATATAAAAACTGTCTATCTGTCCCCAAGCCACTTTTTTTTTGATAATTTCCTAACTGCTGAGCTGATTTTGACGGAACTTTGACTGGAAGGTGACTGATGCACGCGGGATTGTTATAGACGACCATTTAATTCCGCGCAAACAAAATTTGAGGGCGACAGCTCGTTCAAAATAAATTTAATTCATTCAAGTATTAAAAAAACTTGAAATATCTACTTACCTATACAAACATCCACTTTCCCTTTAGCTGCTGCCTCATGCAAGGGTGTGTAGCCCCAGTTATCTCTAGCCGCTGGGGGTGCTCCGGCTGTTAGCAGAGCTCTAACAACATCCGCATGACCGAAGGAGCAGGCATTGTGTAACGGCTGCAGTCCTCCTTCATCTCTTGCTTGTAGCGCTGCGCCACCCGCTATTAACAGTTCCACTACTTCTCTGCGTCCATATCCTGGAAGGAGAAACACTAATGTATAGATTTTTGAATAATTTCCCAATTCTAAAAATATTTAGGATATGAGATGGTATTTTGTGGGATGTTTCTGTCACCCTGTTCTGTCCCCACGTGGAGACAGATGAGATTAAAAAGTTTCTTCCGTCCCAGCCTTTGCAACAAAGGGATGGTTGGAACTTATTTTAGTTACCTCATTTGTGATAGTGGGACTAAAAAGACGGATGAAACTTTTTATCCTCATGTGGGGACAGAGTAGGGTGACGGTTGGGAATAATCCATTTTGTACATATTTGATTTTCGTCATCTTAGTGCTAAGACATAGAAAGAGATGGATTGTGTCAAAGGTGACATGATCAAATAGGGAGTGACGACTAAGATGACATATGATAGAGTTATGTGAAGAACGAAAACCTATTGCACCACTACAGAAGTATAAGGAGGAAGATGATAAGTGCTGAGACATTGTTATCGCTAAGAGTATTATCTTACTAATATTATAAATGCGAAAGTTTAGAGTGATGGATGTTTGTTAGAGTTTGTAGCTTAAACGGCTGAACGGATCTACATGAAATTTGGCACAGGTTTAGAGCATAGTCGGGAAGAACACATAGGCTACTTTTTATCCCGGGAATAGTTACGGTTCCCGTGGGATTCAATAATTTAGTTTTTTAATGTTTACTCAATCATTCTGCAACGGTTCAACATATCTTATTGAAATTTGGCACAGATATAAAACAAAGTATGGAGTACACATGGGATAAGCTTCATCCCCGAGAAATGTCCGGTTCCCGAGGGATACGTAGCTTTTTGTAATTCACATAGTTTGTATGTTTTCTAATACCACGCGTACGAAGTCGCGGGCAAAATCTTGTATACAATAAAATCAAGCCTATTAAAGTCAGAAAAAAGGAAAAGGTGTAATTTCCAAGTGACCTATCCATTTATAATGATATTTCAATCATTTTTCTAAGTAAAGATGATTTGATACATTTTAAAGTCATGTATTGGCAATAAAAAATTCAGTTCTGTAATTATTACAGTTAACTTTTAGACTTATTACATCAGAAGTTGTATTATTTTTTAAGATGTAAATTAAATTTGATTTATAACTGGCAACCTTCAATTACTTTAAACAGTGAAATCAACCTTGAAACACTTTCTTACCATCTCTGTGAGCGTTTTAAGTTATTACATAGTCATTTATAAGTCAGTCTTGAAACTTAGAAAATATAAACTAACTTTATTGAAAATATGAGCAACATATGTGAAAACTAACCTAACCATTAATAATAGAGTTTTGCAAATACCATAACTTAAATATATGTCAGTATACCACTACTAATCACCAATCACCAGCTCACTATACGTCCCCACCGAGGGGCTTGGAGCCTACCCAAAGTTAGGGTGACTAGGCCATAGTCAACCACGCTGGCCAAATGCGTGTTGGTTGAATTCACACATATCTTTGAATTTATTAGCCGATATGTGCAGGTTGCATCACGATGTTTTCCTTCACCGTAAGAACGTCGGGTTATTTATGTACATATGAAAAATCGAAAAATCGAAAATCACATTGGTACATGACAGGATTCTAAACCAAGACCTGTAGATTACAAGTGCTTAAACCACTGAGCCACCGACGCTCCAATCACCAAATTACATCAAAAAAATTTAGCAGTTTAGGCAGCAGTCTAAAAAAATCACTCTAAACTTTCCATTAACATTGACTGATAATGTCAACAACATTTGTATGAATCCTACAGCAATGGGAAACCATGGTTACATTGTTATACTAAATTCAACATTATTGTTCAATGCCAGATAACAATAAGAATTGTGTAAGAATTCAGTCAACTAGGAATGAAATATCACAATGAGCAATAAAATTGAACATTATCCGACTAGATACAGATAAATCAAATAAAATCACACACCGTGACCAATTATGCAATTCTCAAAAAAAAAAAATGATAAACACCTTTCACTTTTTGATTATTTTCACAAATTTTCATTGATATAAATAATGGTTTTATGTTTTTATATATAAAACAATACCTGCAGCGAAGTGTAGCGGTGTTGATTTACGACCAGCTGTGTCCCTAGCGTTCACAGTTTGTGGTGTAATCAACTTTTTAACTCGATTTGCGTCCCCTGTCTTGCAAGCTTCGAACAACTCCCGTAGTGGGTCCGTTGGTGCTGGTAAAGCATCCAGAGCCGAACCGAGCAACGAACGCCGGCTGGACATGTTTCGTTTATCACATCTATGATTATTGTCAACACCGTATCACACTACCATTTTTGATAAAATAACAATCGATCGAATGAAAACACGTACGATACAAGTACAGCTGCTTTCAAGATACTTTTGACAGTTGATGAGAAATGTTGCCAATTTTTGTTAAAAAAAAAAAACAAACAATACCATAGTTAAAACCAAAACTTTTTGCAGCACAAATTGCTTATAATTGAATAAAAATTGTTTAATCATTTATTTTTTATCCAAAGTGTAATTTGTTTAATAAGGGTTATTAGTTTATTATTATAAATAAGATTGTTTGTTAATCAAAACGATTACTTTAAAATTAAGCTTAAGCTAAATTGCATTACTGTTAAACGAAAATAGCTTTTCACGGTCTGACATATTTGTAACAATGTCCTTTTACGATTAATTTGATTAAAATCCCACTTTCAGTAAGACAGAATTTAAGTTTTATTGGCGATATACGTTTAACTAATTTCTAACTAGGTAAACAAAAATACTCTACATTGTCTTTAGCCGTTAGTTGACGAAATCAAAATGGCGTCTTTCATGGAATAGTGCATATATCCGCCGCACATATTCGAGACTTATAATAATAATCGTGATAACGACATTATATCAGTGATATAAACTGTTTGTGGACTTTTACTTAGTGCTAAAGTGTGTATATTTGTTCAAGAAAGTTTTTACAGTGACATCGTCGCTGAACACAAGTTTCCGCTAAGGTAGGTCTCCTTTCACCCATCAAATATTCGAGACAGATAATTGGTAACTTAATAAAAATAATCTTTGTTGTACCTAAGCTCCAAATGCACTTTAGTATTTCTAAATGTCTTAATGATTCCGGCTCTATCCGGAAATAGTTCTGTAGATCAGTAGGTGAATCGTTATAACAGGTTTTTTGTGGAGGACGCGACTAGGCGAGGCCGGATGAAATCTTCACTTTTCATATAGTTTCCTCATTCACGTTTCGGTGTCGTCAAGTTTGTATGCTTTGGTACAGACGTGCCGTATACCGCAAATATTTAATCGTTCGCCGACCGCACGGCTAATTGAATTAGAGACAGGCGCGGCTCGGGTTCGCAATTTCTCCATTCCGTATGATGTTTGTATGAGTTTTCACTTTTGGATCGCGGTGTATGTGCTATGAATGTTGATACTGGCCAGTAGAATCCAATACGTTCGGAAAAGGTAATATTGTTTATGCCTTAGACGTTGGCAGAATTATGTTGTCTTAGTCATTTATTTTTAAAAACTTAGATTACAGAATGGGCGCGAATTATTGAAAGGGTATGAGTGATTTATTATTCATTAAACGATATGCCCTATTTTGTTACATACCATATAGACTTGTTTAGAAGGTATTTGTTAGGTAAAATCCATATATGAACATGAAACTAGTTTTTTATATCTATGACACTTATTGTTTGTTTAAATGACATGTTAAAGTTAAAACTTGAACTGTTTCCTTATTTGTGCTATTAAATATTATTTTTAATGATTTAATGATAATAACATAATTGCTAAAGTAGCAAAAATTACAGGAAAGATACTCTTTATCCAAGTAAATTGTCATAGTTTAATTTTTTGTAATAATGAAGATATCTATAGACAACCATTATACACCATAAACAAATATGTTTTCCTTCTCTAGGAAAACCTCTTTCGTAATGTAGCTAGTATTTTAATTGAGAAGAAATAAGGTGACTTAGTTATTATTGATTCCATGTTGTAGATTTTAATCATTATCATACCAATGTTATAAATGCGAACACACACACTGGATGTGTGTTAGTCACTACATATCTCCAATATAAAATAAAGGATCATGATAAAATTTGTCACAGTTGTAGAACATAAGCTAGACAAACACATAAGCTACTAAATTGTTGTTGTTCCATAACTGGCATTCACCTGCGATTTGTCCACGTAGAATTAAAAAAAAACAAAAATGAGTATCCTATGTGTTCTTCCAGACTATACTCTACATCTATGCCAAATTTCACCAAGATCCGTTCAGCTGTTTAGGCTACAAACTCTAACGAACATCCATCTAAACTTTCGCATTTATAATATTAGTAAGTTAGTCTATATGTTCTTCCAGACTGTCCTCTATATCTATGCTAATTTTTGTCAAGATTTGTTTAGCTGTTTAGGCCACAAACTAACAAACATCCATCCATGTAAACTTATAATATTAGTAAAACAGCTGAAGTCAGAAGCTACTTATAGCTATTTGATGAATAATAAAAATTGACATTTCAATACTAAAAATGGTTATTTGCATCATAGTTTAAATGTTAGATATTTATCAAAGTTCAGAATGTATAAATAAGTTTTATTATTATAATAATTTTAACTTAATAATCATACTAATATTATAAATCTAAAAGTTTAGATGGGTGGATGTTTGTTAGACTTTGTAGCCTAAACGGCTGAACGGTTTTCAAGTAAATTTGGTATGGATGTAGTAGTTAGCCTGCAAGAACACATAGGCTACTCACTTTTGTTTTTTAAATCCATGCTGACGGAGTCATGCTTGTAATAATAATTTATTAATGAATACTTGCCATGTTGTTTAACCAAAATTATGTAAGTCTGGGTAAAAATATCTGCAAAATCTTTGTATTAATAATGTCTGTTTTGAGAAAGAATAAAAGGGTTGTTTACATATGTTTTTTGACAGTGTAAACTCATGTTAAACATACAACATAATCAAGAACAAGATAATTCATAGATATGACTAAGGGTCCATTCACACAGGCTGGATTGTAGAGTGGAGTAAATTTTTATCTCAATTTAAATTAAGTTTTATAAGATTGAAATAAGGTTTAATTTTATTTTGCATATCTTATCAAGCGGAAGTATAAAAAATGTGTGTAAAGCAACTTTGATAAGGCTCTGTGCTCCACTTTGTGTGAATTTACCCTTACAGTTTTTACTATTATCAATATTTGATAAGAGATCTCGAAGATAATTTAGAGAGTTTTGAGATCATGTGAATTTACTATCTTACTAATATTATGAATGTGTATGTTTTCATGGATGGATGTTTGTTAGTAAATTACTCCATAGGTTAAACTAGTGTGTAAATTTTACACAGATTATATTAATTATTGTATTATAATTTCTCTCATGTTCTTTTATTTTTTTTTATTTTTACAAAACCAATGATCTGTGTGAGGCATTGATGAGCAGCTGTCACTTCTTTTTTAGATATCAGCTGCTCTCTGGCTTATTTGCTATGTTTTACTATAAAATCTGGCAACATTATGGTTTATGGTTAGCATAGATAAAACAATTTTAATGTTAATGCCCACACTCATACTGCTAATATTAGGCGATCATAAAAATTCTTATGATCCGCGTTTAGCTTTGGCATCTAAATGTATAGTTTTACATTTAACTTTAAATTAGCTGTAACCAGTAGGTAGAGGTCGTTTTGCATACTTTAAAAAAAATACGTCAAATTGAAAATGCAGCTTGAAATAAATATTTTATGTGGTTTTTGTTTACATAAATTTTATTTTAAATGTCTGAAGTGAATGATGAGACGTCTTCATCATCACCAGTTCACTATATGTCCCCACTGAGCTCGGAGCCTATCCTAGTGTGACTAGGACATTGTCAACCATGCTACACTGGGGGTTGACTTCACACATATCTTTGAAAATCCTCGCCGATATGTGCAGGCATCACGATGATTTTCTTCACCGTAAGAATGTTGGGTAAATTTTGTACATATGAAATTCGAAAATCATATTGGCAGTATTCAATCTCAGCACCCGTAAATTCAAGTGCTTACAACCGTAAGCCACTGATGCAATGAAAAAATGTACACAACTAATGTTAAAGTAATAATGTATAGAAATAAATGTTTTTATTTTATTAAAAGGTTTTTTTCACCTTGAAATCAATGTGTAAAAGACATGCCATTACCCCATATAAAGTAATTTGACCATATAAATGGTAATAACCAGTTTTATAGCAACTATAGTAAGAATTTATTGTTGCAATCTATACTTCTATACTATTATAATAAAGTGTAAACACATACTTATTTGTTGCCTAAGATATCAGCAATTACAGCATGTTTTTTAATATTTTTTTTTTTATAAAAAGCCCTACACTTACATCATGCTTTAGGCTATATATTTTTACGCCATCAAACTTAGGGGGTAAATATTTTGGATAAAAACCCTTATGTGGATGTTTGTTGTTATGTATCTACAAATTGGCTTAATAGATATCTGTAATTTGACACAGGTGTGTGAAAGTGTTAAGAATGAATATGGATGGCTACAAAGGGGAAGACGGAAGAAAGTATGGATGGATTGTTTGAAAGTTATGCTTAAGAAAGGAGTGGATTCAGATATGACGGCTGATCGAGATGTATGTAAGAGCAGCACATACTCTGCCGATCCTCCTTAGGGATAAGGGCAACATGGTGATGATGAATTTGCCACAGGTGTAGATTATTAAGTTTAATTCCGCACGGATGAAGTGAAATGAAAAAACTAGTTTTTATGTAGTGTTTGTTTACAAAATTATATTTTGAAATTTAGGTGCGACATACATTTTCTTCTAGGTTAGTCGAATAATACACGTGTAATAGAAAATTTATCGACAATAGACCTACAATCGAGGCTTATCAGATACCACTCGGTATACTCAATACCAAACTTTATAGAGGCTCGCTAGTTCGTACGAGGATACGCACAATTTTAATGATTAACAGGACGTGTCCCGTTTTTATGTAACGACGAAATTAAATAGTGGAACTATAAATTTCGTATGTAGCGGACATTATTTTTTTCAGTTATTTTGTGTTGAAATAACTCAAAAACTACTTGGCCTAAATATTTCACCATTAAGAAGATATGTTATCAGTGATACAAGGCTATATTTATTTCCGGTCGGATGAAGCCACCCGCAACAGCTAGTATTATGTAATTATGTGTGAAAAGTGTGTTAACCAGAAATATTTTCGTATACTCAAGTTTTAGCTAAAATTGTGCAATTTGTCTAAAATCTATAACTAGTTTATTAATTAAAAAATAACCAATAGCTTATGTGTTCTTCCTGACTATCCTCTATATCTATGCCAAATTTCCTCAAGATCCGGTCAGCAGTTTGAGTTACAAACTCTAACAAACGTCCATCTAAAGTTTTGCATTTATAATATTAGAAAGATTGAACGGGTCGCATCTTCACCCGTTGCCGAACATGTTCGCAGTTACACCGAGCGGTCGTATAGTTTGAATATCTTTGTATCTCAGTATTACATTCGGAATGCCACCGTTCTGTTGTTAATAAATCCAACGCCGGCATTCCATCGCAAACACGTGCATCATTAGTCAACTAACGGCCCGCGTATAAATATATGTTTTGTGTTTGACTTGTCAGGTTGTGTGTTTTAAAAAAACATTTTTATTTATTATAGTCGATCAAAAACTTTTATCGTGTGGCTTTTCGATTTGAAAATTAAATTGTTGAATTAAAATGCGTAACCAATGGTTATCTCTGTTTTTCTCTGAAGATGGGAAAGGGAAAAGAATAGAGTTTTTGAATCAGCAACCGTATTCTTTAAATCTATATCTATACCTGTAATAAAATTGTAAATAAAATTGTAGTGTCTGTTTGTAAATCAAAAGAAAAAATTCAGATTTCGTGAAGATGTAGTATTTGCGTTGCTGATAACGAAAATCGTATTTAAAAATTTTTG